GTATGCTACGCTAGCCAATAACTCCTAATGAATTATTTTACAAATAATTCGAGTTATTGGCTGCTTCGCATCCAATAGCTATATAGTATTGGCGCATCGCTATAGATAGCATATTTAGGATAATTGGGATATTCGGGACATTTAGCATAATTAGCATAATTAGAGCATCTAGCATATATAGCATATAAGTAAATAGTACATAAATTTAGCATTTATCACAATGAAAAGTCGGCTCACAATTAACCTAATTAATAAAATAAAAAGTTGGCTCTACCAAATCTACGTCCTCATTCGAGTATAATCGTTGAACGTTACGCAAACCCTTCCCGGTTTACCCTACAGAGGCGTACGTTTTTTCCCGACATTACATTGTATTTTATTAATCTATATGCGATCAAACATCCCTAAATGCAATTTTAGGGACCAGGTTTTTGGCAGCCTGCACTAGAAAACGACAAATAAATTGCATTTATTGGCGGAGTTTAAAGCTGAATTTGGTGAGATATTTATTGCATTTAAGGGGATTGCATTTAGAAAGGTCTGTATAATACTGGATAACTTTAATTGAAAATTTTCTTTCAAATGTTAACCGTTAATTTTTAGAGTTTATTTAGATCTACTTAAACATAAACTTTGAAGTATTTTAACTGTCATATTACTCAATTTTATTGTAAGTTATTTTTGTGTGTATTAAACATCACGACTCTTAAAAATTAATTAACAATGTTAAATTGTCTAAAGTCTAATTATAAAAGAATTTATAGAAATTAACAATCAACAACAATGCGTTCACACGGTACCAATGTAACACAGTTTTCCACTTCTTTTTTAATATTATCATCCAAATTCGAATTCCTGTATACACCCACATAATTTAAAGTTCTCTTTCTTACGCAGAATTCGATTAATGCTTTAGCTTTCTTCTCGCTGTCAAGGCGATTAATTAGCAGATTTTTTAAAGGTACATGGCAGTTTTCGAGCAAAATGTCAATATATGAATTTAGACAAGAATCCCTTAAGTCAAGATATTGTAATGTTAATGGCAATATGCCTGCAAACTGTTTAACCAGTATTTTTAATTCTTCCTCTGATATTCCTACTATATCATCAATCCAAAACGTGAGAAATTGAAGTTTTTGTAAATTATCAATAAATTCTAGGAGTTGTGTGGAAAATTCAACATTTGAAATATAGAGATATATAATATTTGCGCAGAAGGGCTTAAGTTCTTCTAATAATATCGGTTCTTCCCACAATACTTCATCCCTTGATTCAAGTTTTAGCCGTTGTAATAATGAGCCAGACTTTTGTAAAATTTGTACTATATCCGATGTAAAAATCGAGCAACTCATAATTTCTAAGGTGTTAAGGTTTGCCTCTAATATTTTAATATTATCACAATTTCTACAATATCTGATACGAAGAATTTCTAAATCCTTACAATTCATTAGCGCCTTGAACTCTGTGTTACATACACAAAATTCTATTATAACTTCTTGTAATGATTTTTTTTGACTCTCTAAAGCTGAAATGACACCGTGAAATTCTGTAGGAAGTCCTTCACCACCGATTAAGCTAAATTGATTAAGTTGCTCTTGTGATTTAATAATGCGTTTAAATACATGAAATAATTCTGGTTCATAACCAGAATCAAATTCATCAAATACCAAACCATTAATTTTTGTAGCAATTTTTGCCAAGATTTTTAATAATGCAATAGCGTTTTCGGTTCTGAAGTCTGATATTAAGCCTAAAGATAAATATTGAAGTCGTGAAAAAAATAGTTCATTTCGTCCGAGTGAGTAGAAAATATCTGGACCAATTTCATAATCAGTAAAATGTAAAATTAACTTGTGCAAAGTGGCTCCACTTTCAACAAATAATTTAAATAATAAATCAATTATGCGATATGTTAATGAGATGCAACTTTGTTTTGAACCAACAAATTGGATAACGACCCATTTTTCAACCATATTTTCTAGGTGATTTAAGTCAAAAACTTTTAGAAATCTTGCATAATTAAATAATGTATTTGGAAATTTTGTATTTATCCCATATTGATTTAAACCGAATTTTTCGGTCTCATCAAGAGATGAAAAGTATTTAGGAATAAATAATGGACTTTGTTGATTAAGTGAAAACGGATTTTGCCAAAGAATAGGAATTGCCATTTCGCACCAATGTCGGCTCACAAGTGCGCACGAATATAAGGAATAAAATTCGTTATTCAAATTATTAAGAATATTTTCCATTAATTCGGGCATATCGCCCATAAATATTTTTGTTGCCATGAATTAGCGTTGCATTAACGAGAAAAGATTAAGTTAGTTATTGTTACATGTATAGTTGTACAATATATATATAGATATATTCGTACGCGTGTAACATTGAATTCAATGTTACATATGGTCATATGATTTTTCTAATTATGTATTAAGGGTGATGATCAATTTTCAATGATATATTACATTATTAAACGATATATTCTAAATGGCTCAACTTATTATCAAGACATCAAACTAGAGATGGGACCCGAAACCTTTTTGGCCAAATCCGAAAGTTTCGGGTTTCGGATTATAGATTCCGAAACCTCATCCGAAACCCCGAAACCCAAAACCCTATCCGAAACTTATCCAAAACCTACCCGAAACCTACCCGAACTCTGAAACTCTACCTAAAATTCCCAAACCCTATTTTAACCTTTTCAAAACCCTAAACTATTAAAATTTTTATTTTGTATAGTATAATATTAGTTTAATTAACATACTTTGCACCATTTATGATGAAATGTATGAGAAAATTTATCAGAAATGATTTGGAAAATAGTTTTTTAAAATGCAGATAATAATCAAATTGTAGAATATTTAGATAATGAAGATGAGATGAGTTAAATGATTTTGTTTAAGAGTTAGAAAATGAAGAAGATTATGATTCAAATGAAATAGCACAAAAACATTTTGATGATACAGACATTAATCAAAACAAACCAAACAGTGGTTGGGTTAGAGTTAGCTTAGGATTTGGCCAGGTTAATAGCTAGAGAACCCTAACCCAAAATTTAAGGAATTCTTTTGTTATGACATTTCATAAGTCAAATTTAAAAAATCGTAATCAGTTTTCATGTTACACCTGATCCTGCATCTTGATTGGTCAAAGGTTTCGGATTATAGTTTCGAGGTTTCGGATTTAGACTTACCCGAAACTGGTTTCGGGTAGGTTTCGTTTCGGGTCCCATCTCTGTTATACACCATTTTTAATTTACGCCATTTACGTTACTATAAATGTCATGTTAAATTTGCATTGACACGTAAAACATAAATCACTTTTTTAGATAATAGTTTCTACAATAAACGATTGCAATTGATTTTCTGAAATCTGTATGCGATTTTTGATTCGAACAAAAGCATGATCCAATCTATCACTACTTAATATTAAAAATTAATGTAAATATAAATTTTGATTTAGTTTCGATATATTTACTCTAAAAATATATAAGTTGATTATTAAAGTTGAGCGCTCTTGGTTATTATGGTACTTTATATGCTACGTATCTATCAAATAAAGTCTATAATAATTTCGAGATTAGACAATTAGAAGGTATCCAATAACTCGTTATCGGGAATGAAGATTTTTATGAATTCATCGAATTTATAAATTGGCTTCTTCTAGTTTTGTACTTTGATTCTTAATAAAATTTGCGGATTCTTTGAATTTGAGATTGCAGTTTAACGAATTGACATGAAACGCAACAATACTGTATCTAACCTGAATTTTTAAATAAAAAAAAATTACATTGACTTCTTTAAAAATGTATTTAACCCATTTCAATCTCTTTTTTTGTATTCATAATGTTCCCAAACAAATTATTTTCAATTGGACACGTTTGTATATTTAAATTATTTAAGAAGGTTTTATGTCGTAGAAGATCTGAATTTCGGAGCTTATACCGAGTTTCATCAGGCTTTCATTAATTAGCATAGGTTTTTTAATACGAGTATTGCTAAAAGAAACCCCGAAAATTTAAATATAAATCATATTTAAATTTTCGGATTTTCTTTTAGCAACACTCATATTATAGTAGATCAAAATTTTAGGTCAGGAAATTATATCTTAATGAAAGTAGTAATGAAAAATAAAAGGACTACATAACTGATAATGAACTTGGCTTCTTATTTATTTATTCTTTATTATTAAGAAATAGTAAAGAGTGTTGTATGATTATCTAGGATAGAATTGAAACATTTTTAGATCATTATACATATTCGATTTTCTGAGCCTGTTCATCAGGCGTTCGGCCCTATTTCTTAATAAAAAAAAAGGTAGGACAATTTGTCTATTAAGATAATGATGGTTGATAGTATAATGGTCATAATAAATTCAGTTCAATCTATTTAAGATTTAAAATTGATATTATTTTATTTAGCACTGTAGACATCGACACATAGATTTTTGCAATTATAATGAATGTAAAAGCGAATATAAAAAACAATTTCATTTTAATAATAAAGAAAATGGAGTCAGACATATTCATGGTATGCACTTAATAAAGCTTTTAGTTATAACTAAACTTTATTTGAATTTAATATTTTTTTCTTGTGTATCCTAAAACATATGATAGATACTATATTTAAGCCAAATCCAGAGTTACCTAAAGACTTTTTATCACATGAACAATTCTGGAATTTGTAGGTAAGTGAATTATGCGTTATTTAAACATAATTATAATGGTATTAATTTTAATTTTATATTTTTATATCCATGTACTGCCATAGAGACAGAGGATTTTGCAAAATGTGATCATGAATGCCCTGATGAAATTCATCAAAAATCAATAGATGGTTTACTACCAGAAAAATCTTATTGCGATTTGCAACCGTTTCATGATCCTCTTAATGCTTTACCTCCTGGAAAAAAAGGATATCTATCTAATGATGACATGTATTTTTATGCCAGGGTCCCAGGGTTGCAGCGTTTCATATTATTTTTGTTTTGGATCGATCTTATTCTATGAGCAACAGTGATCATCCACCAACATCAGATTCATTATTTGGAAATGAATTAAAAAATTTTGCAATAATCGACTTGGTTCAGCATTGCAAACAACAGATAAGCTTATTAAGACTTGGATTTCTTCCACAGTAACTCAAAATAGAAGCACAACAATTGCTAATGATATTGTTTCAACTATACTTTTTAATCACAGCTCTGAAATTCTATTTGAAAATAAGAGTATATTTGATGCTGAGTTTATTCAAAATAAACTGAAGGAAGGACGTTAACTGGATTCACTTGTTTTGTAATGCAATAGAAATGACCGATCAAGTTATTGATGATTATTTTGATAAATCAAGGTAAATTTTTTTAAATTAAACTACATATTTTTATTTGTCACCGGCGGTACAGTGACTGAGCCAATTAGATTGCACGATCTTATTTTGTTGACTTATCATAACAGTATTTAACTCTAAATGAAATCCGATTGCTATCATCAATCTTTATTATATGCATTAGGTTTAATGCTGTGATGTTCCTTTCTGATGGAGAAGAGTCTTCCGGAAGATGAATTAAAGAACATGTGCCAGAAAAATAAAGAAAGAATGTAAGTAGATAGTTTGGTAAGAAATGATCGAATTTAATGTTATTTACTGAAGCAATTTAATTAAAATTACACTAATATAAGGTCTCCACTATTTTTTAATACTATACACTTTGGCGGTTCAGATGATGGAGTTGAAGCCCTTCAACAAATGGCAGAAGTTGCGCAGACATATAATGATACTAGTTCTAATAATATGCAATGTAAATATGTAAAATTGCCTGATACAATACGTCTTATTGATAGTTTTACAGATGTGGCAAGTAGCTTGATAGAATACAAGCCTATATTAATGCAAGAATCTTTAGATACGAATTGTTAAATGGTTACATGCTAAAATTATATACCAACATAAGAGCATATAATTTATCAATAAAAATTAAATATTTAGTTATATTTTATTATCAAAAACTGACGAGCTTGTCAATGAAGTGACAAGCCAAAGAAATTCGTTGAATGAGGATAGGTGGTATTTTATATTATTAGTAAATTAATTAATCAAGAGTTTTGTCAAGCGAATACATCGATGAAATCATTTCATCAACAAAAAAAATAGTTTCGCAAAGCATCATTAGATCAAGTGCAAAACGGAATTAAATAGAAAAACTTATGCGAATGCACAAATTGATAACTTAGATGAAAAGGTAGAACTGTGAGATACGTATGCTTAAATTTGATGTTTAAAAAGCTTTATATAATTACAAATATAAAAGACGGAGTCATCTAATTAAATACAGAGATACTCTTCATTGCACTTCGTTCTTGGTATTTCGCTTTTCACTTATTTGATTACCTACTGGGCCTAATCACTATTTGTGGCAAATCATTTAAAATTTTAATAATTCAAGTTTATATAATTAAAATTCTTCAGAATTTAATAAAAAAAAAAAAAACAGAATTGATCATAACATTTTTATAAATTATATTCTTGAAAAGCAGTGACATCTGAATCCTTCATTAATTGCAATTTTTTAACAACATATTCCAAATATTATTGATGCACTCTTTTATTTATATGTATATGGTGTGTTAAAAAAATATCACGACATTTAAAATTTATAAATGATACAAAATTGTTTAAAAATTAATTATAAAAGAAATGAGAAATTATCAATAATGTGTTTATATGGTACCATTGTAACATATCCTTCCACTTCTTTTTTAAAATCATCATCCAAATCCGAATATGCGACTAAGCCCACATAATTCAAAGTTTTTTTTCGTAAACAAAATTCAATTAGTGCTTTAGCATTATCAAAACCACAAATCAACAGTTTTTTTAAAGGAGAATTGCAATAATTGAGCAAAATATCTATATATGAAGTTAACCAGTCAATCCTTAAATCAAGATATTGCAATGTTAATGGCAATATGACTGCAAATTTCATAACTTGTATTTTTAGTTCTTCTTCTAGTGTTTGTGTGTCAATAGTGCACAGTAATGTGAGGGATTGAAGTTTTTGTAAATTACCGATAAGCTTTATGAGTAGTTTTGAAAACACAATACACGAAATGTCGAGATGTGTAATGTTCGGGCAGAAAAATTCAAGAGTTTTTAGTAATGATTCACCCAAAAGGTTTGATTCAAGTTTTAGTCGTTGTAATAATGAGCTAGACTTTTCTAAAATTGACACTATACTCAATTCATCGCAGTCAACAATTTCTAAAGTGTTGATTTTATAAAGGCTTGTGCTTAACATTTTCAACAGCTCTTGATCTTCGTCACATATAATACGAAGAGCTTCTAAATTTTTACAATTCATTAACACCTTGAATTCTGCAGTATAAACACGACTATCTATTATAACTTCCTGCAATGATTGATTTTGACACTCTAAAGCTGAAATGATGCCGTGAAATTCTGTAAGAAATCTTTCTTTACCGACCAAGTGAAACAGCTTAAGTCGCTCTTGTGATTTAATAATGCATATAAGAGCATAAAATAATTCAGGTTCATAATCAGAATAAAATTCATAAAGTTTCAAAGAACTAATTTTCGTAGCATATTTTGCCAAGATTCTTAATAATGCAGAAGCATTTTCGGTAGTGAAATCCGATATTGGACCCAAAGATAAATCCTGGAGTTGTGAGAAAAATAGCTCATTTCGTGCTAATGCGTAGAAGATCTGTGGATTAATTTCATAATCATGAAAATTTAAATCTACTTTGTGTAAAGTGGCACCACTCTCAACAAATAATTTAAATAATAAATTAACTATTGGATATATTACTGATATTCTTGAATTACCATGGTGGTAATCGATCCATTTTTCAACCTTACTGTCTATACTGGATAAATCGAAAACTTTTAAAAAACTTGCATAATTAAATAGAGAAATTGAAAATTTTATATCTATCCCATATTTCTTCAAAACGAATTTTTCGTTCTCATCAAGGGAAGAAAAGTATCTAGAAATGAATAAAGGATTTTGTTCGAATGAAAATGGATCTTGCCAAAGAATAGGAATTGCTACTTTACACCAATGTTGGTTCACAAGTGTGCATGAGTATAAAGAATAAAATTCATTATTTAGATTTTTAAGAATTTTTTCCAATAATTCGGACATATCGCCCATAAATATTTTTGATGCCATGATAAACGAGAAGGGATTTAAGTTCTTTATTTTTACGTAATTTTAGATAGGCACCCCTGAAAATTGTCCGTCTTCTGTAATTTTTGATTAATCACTCTCAATATAAGAACCTTTAATACCAGAAAGACTAATTAATTAAACTCTAGATATAAGAAAACTCAAACTAAAATTAGTCTTTTATAAAATGACATTACAAACTTTCATATATTGAAAGTTTATATTGAGTAACAGACAAAGACTTACGTACTTATATAAAATTAACGTTAATGCAAGCTAATATAAATATAGTTGATACGTAAAACAAATTATATAATACAAATTTAAACGATTGTTAAAATAATGAATGAATTGCAAGTTTTTTGAATAATGGTTTGAAACATTACATGAATACCGATACGACACAAAAACTGCAATAGTTATTTAACGTTAATTAATCTAGCATAAATTTAGTAAATTAATCAGGCATAAATTTAGTAAATTTGCTATAAATTATTATACGTTGCATGTGAATGAGATAATTTTGGAAAAGCGGCACATGAATGTGCAGTATACGTACGTGGTTGAATGACACAAAGTTTTTAAGGAGTATAAATTATTCTATAAGGCGAGCTAATGATGGTGCAGACTTAATAAAGGGTGCGAAATCCCCTCCTTTTATAAATCAGACAGAATTTTCACTTTTACACATTTTGAATAACACGAAAGAGCACACTCTGAAACATACAATATTACATCAGAGTCATCATTCTACGTATCATGTTAGTCTCGTGTCAGTTTCATATACGTACTAATTTAGTTAGGACTTAATTATACCTAAAAAGGATTATAAATAATATACGTAGCGGATTTTTTGATCTTCAAAGCGTCTTGAGTTAATTCATGGCATCAAGAATATTTATGGGCGATATGCCTGAAATAATGGAAGATATTCTTAATCATTTGGATTATGAATTTTATTCTTTATATTCGTGTACACTTGTGAACCGACATTGGTGCAAACTGTCAATTCCTATTCTTTGGCAAGATCCATTTTCATTTAAAAGTAACTCATTATTTATTTCTCAATACTTTCCATATCTTGACGAAAGTGGAAAATTCATTTTGAATGAATATGGAATAAATATAAAATCTCCAAATACTCTTTTTAATTATGCAAGATTTCTAAAGGTTCTTAATTTAACCAATCTAGAAAATAAAATTAGAGAATGGGTCGAAACCCAGTTGATTGATTCAAAATTAGATTACTCGTTAACGTACCGTATAGTTAGTTTGCTGTTTAAATTATTCGTTGAGAATGGGGCTATTTTGCACAAATTAAATATTCCTGATTATGAATTTAATTCAGAGATTTTCTACTCATTAGGACGAAATGTTCAATTTTTATCACAACTCCAAGATTTATCATTGGGTAGTACGTCAGAAACCAACAGTGACCATGCTACTGCATTATTAAGAATCTTGACAAAAAATTCTACAAAAGTTAGTGTTTTGAAACTTGAAGACTTTTATTGTTGTGACGAACAATTAGTTCACGCGCTTGTATGCTTTATTAGATCACAAGAACAACTTAGACTGTTTAGCTTTATTGGTGGAGATTTCTACGGCATCAGTTCAGCTCTAGAGAGTCAAAAAAAATCATTACAAGAAGTTATAATAAATTATTGCGATTGTAGCAATTGGAACGAAGAGTTTAAGGCGTTTATGAATTATAATAATTTAAAAATTCTTCGTATCAAAGGTTACGATATTGATGTGAGAAAATTAGAGATAAGCCTCAACACTTTAGAAGTTACCAATAATCATATTTATGCATCGAATATAGTACAAATTTTGGAAAAGTCTGGACCATCATTACAACGACTAAAACTTGAATCTAAGGGTGATAAAATTTGTGAAGAATCTATATTACTAGAAACACTTAAATCTTTCTGCCCAAACATTACATATCTCAACATTTCATATACTGAGTTTTCCACACAACTCCTAGAACTTATTAGTAATTTACAAAAACTTCAATTTCTCACATTAAAGCGCATTATTTACATACAAGAAGAAGAACTAAAAATACGAGTCATGCAGCTCGCAAAACTATTGCCGTTAACATTACAATATCTTGACTTAAGGAGTACTCGGCTAATACCATACATTTATATTTTGCTCAATCATTGCGATGCACCTTTAAAGAAATTATTAATTAATCACCTTGATAACGAGAAAAATACTAAAGCACTAATCAAATTCTGCGTGAGAAACGGAACTTTGAATTACGTGGGTTTAAGCAAAGATTCGGTTTCGAATAATAATTTTAAAAAAGAAGTGGAAGGATATGTTAGATTGGTACCATATAAAAACATTATTGTTAATTGTTAATTTTTATAAACTCCTTTTATTTAGACAAGCTAACATCATTTATAAATTTTTAACCGATATTTTAAATACACATTACTGTATAAATGAAATAAAAAATCAATAAAATAAATTATAGTTATTGTATGGGTATGTGGTAAATAACCCAGTTACACACGGGTTCATATTCCGTGCCGAAGGCACGGATTTAAATATGAACCCGTGTGTGTAACTGGGTTATTCAACATACCAATACAATAACTATCTTATTGCACGGTGTCTGACGTAACAATCCCGTGCCAATAAGTAAATGTAAAAAGCACGGGTTGTCACATAAGACCCGTGCAATAAGTCATTAAATTTCATGAATATTTATTCGCGA